CTTCTTGACAATTTGTTAGTAGTAGCGGCAGCGGAGGCATCGCCGTCGACACTTGCATTACCGACACCACCACCACCACCACCGCAACAACAGCCACTACCACCAGCAGCAACAATGGAATTCGCCATCGCACCACCCACGCCGATGATCACCACTACTACCGACGACCACAATACGCTGGATATGGATAATTCTATGTTTATTCAAAGTGCCAGAAGGAGAGAAGAAAACATAAACGATCGACTGTACGACTACGCACAGATCGTTGTACCGAGCATAGCTATTCCCCAAACCGAGATACTTCGAGTCTGCAAATCCAGCAATTCGGGTTCTTCGAACACTATGCCTATGCAATTTTGCATAATAGAGTACGACACCGTAACCATAGACGTTCAATATTATACGTTTTCTAATGGTGGCAAACCCGTACCGGAAAACGTTTCACCGCAACAACCAAATTTGGTGTATTCTAATAAAAAAATGCTCTGTCGGCTGAAAGAAGAGAATATCCCGTCTTTCATTATGAGCGCGTACTGGAGACGATCTAGCTCGGGGCGAGGAACTGGCAAATGTGTGATGCCGCTCAAAAGTAATTTGCCGCAGGAAATGCATCAAAAAGCGATCGACGTTATGGATTTTACGCTCAATATTCTAAAATTTGAGGATAGCACGCGCCAAAAAGTTTCACCCTCTGATTTTTTCTATTACGGTCATTCTTTATATATATTTTATAGATCCACGAGCGCCGTTTTCGGAGTATGCGGTCATCAATACAGACCCGACAAAATAACGTTTATGTTGTGCGCAGCACTGTCCAGTCACAACGACAATTACCTCGTACCATGCGGGAAAGTTACCTTTACTAACTCCACGAAACACAAATTAGTATTATTTTATTTAATATATTTCATCTATCGAATGAGAGTGATCGCGATTTTTACTGTGAAGGGGCACCCTGTTGCAGAACCAGAGTTAATCCCGCGAACCCCCTGATAAACTTGATCTCGAATACACCATGGATCCCCTAGATCCCAACCTTCCCCTAGCAACCGAGGCCAGTACTTCCCGCAAAACGAGAGGAGGGAGAGAACTCCATCCACCGCCAAAAAAGAGGAAGCTACCCCTACGAAATGAGCTACCCCTGTTGAAATGATATTTTATTTCTTTTTGTTTTAGATCTCGTTACGATTAGTTTAAGATTACGGTTCGGATTTTCTTTTGTCTCACGACCGACGCGTCTTTGACCGGCGGGTCGCCCTTCCTTTGTCCCGTGGCCACCGAGCTTTATTCGCGACTCGCGACTCTCCGACGAATTAATTGACTGTTTAACGCGACGAAAGGAGATGGACAGGATTTACTCGCAAGCGAAAGACTTTACACAGACTCTACTTCGTATAAGTATATTCAAAGTTTTTAACAGATTTACACCGAATCTAATCCCGCACGACTCTCGACGAGCAGTCGACTGTACTGCTTCGCCGTCTACCAGAGAGTGTCGGTTTCTCGCTCGCTTTGTCCTCAGCGGACCGTTGGTTCCTTTATTTGCCGATTTTGTTTTCGTGGGCATGTTGTGGCCTTTCGTACTTATGCCACCCGATTTGTGCTGCCTCCTTTATACCTTATATAACCCTCAAACAAGGAGCTCCGCTGCTGTTGAGGAACTGAGTGAAGCTGTTAGGCAACTAACACAAGAGATTCGACACGAAAATGAGAGAGCCGAGCAACATAGAAACTATCTTAGAAGGGAGGTGGACACACTTAAAGGATCCATTGAAAGGCTCACAACTGTTCTCAACACCTTCCAAAACAGCATAGGAGTCGCTGAGACCAGAATCATAGGCCTTCAGTCGGAAAGGGCAGAAGCTTCCATCCAAGCCACTCAACCCACAGCCACCGCTCATACAAGCACCCCTCATCTAGAACCCACTACGGGGAAGGGAAGTGAAGGGGCACTCTGTTGCAGAACCAGAGTTAATCCCTAGTTTTCTAACTCGTAATTATGGACTATAGAGGTCATGGACATGGACGTTACCTTATTTTTCATAAAATTATGTAACTAAAATGATCTTCTAAATTTTTTCGTCGTTTCCGCGGAGAGACCCTAATGAGGGCAAATGGCCGAAAAACTGCTCCGATGAGCATTCGCATAAACCAAAAGGAAGGCCTTCGTCATCAATTGCACCTGAAACTGCCTAAGGCAGCTCGAGTAAGCATCGTATTGCGCGATCGGACCCAGGAAAAAGTTGGTTTGAAATGAAAAATACATTTGTGCGAATTTTGACCTTACTAGACTTTTATCTTCTTTCTTTGAAATAAAATAGCAGCATGCGCCACTTGAAAACGATCAAGAGCCAAGTTTGCTGTGTCCAGGCCGGAATCCGGGCTCGACATTGCAGCTGCGCCATCGGCCGATGACGCAACTCGATTATACAGCACGCCGGGCGATAGAACGCAGTTGCGGCACGGGTGCAATCTTCGTGGCTCATTATTTCATTTCAAAGTACGATGCCGGGAAAAGTGTTAGCGTCGGCGAGGTGGCGACCACTTTAACAAGGAATCGCCGCCGAAACAGCTTCTTACAATAAATATGTAGATCTCGTGCAACTTTCAATGTCCCGCGACAGATTACACCTTTATTTTCCCGCGTCTATAATGAGGCGAGTAAATATTCATACCGCAGGCGCGGATGAAAAACTTGTTGCGAAAAAAAAGCATTAAAGTGTAGCTGTAACAAGGTAATTTCATAACGTTCGAGAATACGCTCCGAAAGTAGATTAAATATTCCGTAAGTAGATTAAACGTTCTAGCGATAAATTGTCTGTGCCCAAATGCGCGTCCAATAATTGCACAGCGCGAAACGGTCGAAAATAGTTGCCGTGACGAGACAAAAATTTGACTTTTCCATTTTTCACACTGAATGTACGAGAGCGGAGCATTTTTTATCTCCGTCGCGAAAACATAATGAACGTGGCTAATAGAAACGGCCAATTCAGATGTAATTGCAAAGATAAGAAATAAAGAAAAGGATATTGAAACTCTCAAAAGATAGACCCGCAATTGGTCCTTCCTTGCAATTGTGATTTTATATTTGTTTTATACGTTTATACAGGAACAACAATACTATACAAACTCTACTGCTGCGCATCGAGTTGGTGAGTGAGAAGTTTCTTTATTGAGATAACGAATCTACATCTTATAGAACGTAGATCGTAGATTTTAGATCATAGATTGATACATTCTGTAGATCTGCTACCTTCAAATAGATAAATTGCAACACAATTTCATATTTTATTTAATATATTTCATCTATCGAATGAGAGTGATCGCGATTTTTACTGTGAAGGGGCACCCTGTTGCAGAACCAGAGTTAATCCCGCGAACCCCCTGATAAACTTGATCTCGAATACACCATGGATCCCCTAGATCCCAACCTTCCCCCAGCAACCGAGGCCAGTACTTCCCGCAAAACGAGAGGAGGGAGAGAACTTCATCCACCGCTAAAAAAAAGAAAGCTACCCCTACGAAATAACCCTCAAACAAGGAGCTCCGCTGCTGTTGAGGAACTGAGTGAAGATGTTAGGCAACTAACACAAGAGATTCGACACGAAAATGAGAGAGCCGAGCAACATAGAAACTATCTTAGAAGGGAGGTGGGCACACTTAAAGGATCCATTGAAAGGCTCACAACTGTTCTCAATACCTTCCAAAACAGAATAGGAGTCGCTGAGACCAGAATCATAGGCCTTCAGTCGGAAAGGGCAGAAGCTTCCATCCAAGCCACTCAACCCACAGCCACCGCTCATACAAGCACCCCTCATCTAGAACCCACTACGGGGAAGGGAAGTGAAGGGGCACCCTGTTGCAGAACCAGAGTTAATCCCTAGTTTTCTTATGTCTCAGATGCCCGAAAGCCATCTATCGAATGAGAGTAATCGCGATTTTTCGGCACGAGTATATGTTGCAATGTTAGTGCTCTTAAACACTGCTTTAATATAAATTGTATATTTGTATGTTTATGCGGAAACAACAAAACAGTACAAACTCTGCTGCTGCCGATCGGGTTGGTAAGTGAACAGTTTTTTTTATTGAGCTAACGAATCTACCTAATCATAATGGGACACCCCGTCCCGTGGACCTAAAACGTGGTACTCATCGAGAGTAGAATCGCGCGAATTACCGTATTTGCGTGACCGTCAGTATGTCGGAGCACAATCTGAGTGGAGGAAGAGGCCTAGGACAGACGTCGGGCGCCGACAAAACACCTTTCAGGTAAATATTTGTTTACCGTACGCGTAAGAATTACTTATATTTTGCAATATTAATTTTCTTGAATACTGCTTTACCGAATTTTATATTTGTATGTTACAGAATCAACGTAGCTAACTCAGCTGCTGCTCATCGGGTCAATGAGCGACAAATTTCTTTATTGAGATAACAAATCTATATCTCATAGAACGCAGATCGTATATTGTATATCGTAGATTGTAGACCGTAGATTAATACATTCTGTAGATTCGTTACCTTAAAATGGATAAATTACAACGTAATTTCACATATTTTATTTTATACATTTCATCTATCAAAGGGGGGTGGTCGCGATTTTTACTACGCGCACGTTTGTACGGCCGCAGGACCGTAGAATCATAATGGGACTGGGGCGAGACGCTTGTCAGGTAAAATATTATAATAAGGCTGCAGTTTTAGTCAAAATTATTAGTCACCTTCATAATTATATACTGTACTGAATCTAATATCAGGGAAGGCTTTTATTGTTACAGTGAAAGTTGCTTACTACATAAAAGCAAACGCTCTCAAACAACTTTTAAACAATAGAAATCAGTCTGGTGTTAGATTTAGTACAGTATAACGATTATAAGGATGTCTAATAATTTTGGCCAAGGCTGAGGGTTAGGTACCTCGTTGAACCCCTGCAGAACCAGAGTTAATCCCTAGTTTTCTTATGTCTCAGATCCCCGAAAGCTCATCTATCGAATGAGAGTGATCGCGATT